GAATGACCGGTTTTAAGTGCTTTTCTTAAACAAAGGTCGATTATTTTCTTAAATTAGTTAATGATGTATTTTTGCTGACTTATAAACCTGAAAGGACATAAATAGGCTTTCACTCACCTTTTCTTTTCTTTTTTTTTTTTTTTTTTTTTTTTTTTTTTTTTTTTTTTTTTTCTAGAAACTCACTCACCTTATTTCAATTGCGAGTCAATTATTTTTGTGACTCGTAATTGAAATATCCCATCCAAACCCCAAGAGGGAAATAAACAGGATATAATTGGAAAAGCAAAAATAAAGCCCTTGTTTTTTTTTTTAATTATTACTATTTTTTTTTTAAATTCTTAAACCCTCTCCCTCTTATCCCACAGAGTACCTCGGCGTCAGCCGCCCCCTCCGCGAAACCCAGCCGCCGCCGGCGCTACTCCCACCACGCGAACTCCAACCACCGCCGCCAAGTCCCCGGAGCTGTTGCAGACGGATATTTTTGGCAATAAGAGTCAGAAAAGAGAGAAGAAGAAGAAGGAAGACACTGAGTCGCTTATCTTTTAATGGGGAAGCAATTCGGAAAGAAAACGGGTAAAGGAACTTCATTGTATTTGTCAGCTGTGCTCTTGAGTGAAGAAGTGAAACTATAAAATACTATTGTTATTATTATGTGCTAATTCTTATTCGGTTATTCTTCCAAAACCAGGATTTAAGAGACCGAAAAATCCCGGGAAATTCGAATTGACTAGGTGTAGCAAGAAAAGTCGCCGTGTTGAAGAAGAAAAGATTCCCCATAGCCCATCATCTACTTCCTCGGGCATGTCTTTGATTGGTTTCTGTTTGTTCATTTGACATTTGATATATAATATATATTTTGTTATCTGGATGATTGGTAATCACATTTATTTTTTTAGTGATGATACTATATGATATTAGTTTTTTTTTTTTTTTTTTTTTTAGTGATTGATTTAAGAATAGAAAGATTTGTGTGGGAATTGAAGTGTTTGATACTTTTTGGGTGCAGGGGAGTTATCTGAGGAAGAAAATGGCAGCTTGTCTCCTGTAGAAGAAATAGCTTATAAGGAGCCATCAACATATGACAAGTTGTTAAATATGCTGGGCTCGTCTAGTAAATCTGTTAATGATGCAAATAAGCTGAGGTAATGGACTTTTAAGAGAAGCTTGAGTATTTATTTATTTATTTATGTCTATGAGAGGAAATTCTAGTATTTTGTGTAAATGAGAGAACTCCGAGGCCATCACTTTCGGAAGCTTTATACGTTTTAAAACCATGAATTGGTGTCTTTCAGCTTAAAACCATTTGGTCTAGTGGCACCAGGAATTTGGTGTGGTGGGGCTTTGTGGGGAGGTTGCAGGTTCGATTACGCCTCATATAAAAAGAAAAAAAGATAAAATGGTGGCTTTTGGGTCGACATTTGCCAGTATGTTGAGTAATATAAATTTGTTAGTTTGGCTTGCTTAGGCCTCGTTCACTTCGTGAGTTCGAATTGTGTGGGTTTGAACCTTTGGTTAAACCCAAATTCAAGTTCAAAATGTTATGCAACCAAACAAGGGTTTAAGTTGCCTCCATCCAACCAAACAGGCACTTAGGCATTTCATGTGGTTCTATTTGGATAAGCATATGAAGTGCTACTTACTAAATGAGCTTACTCATCTTCCCAAAAGTGAAATGGCTTAGTGTTGCATTGGTGAAACTGATTCTTGTTGCACAGTTATCTTATCATGTGTTTTGTTTAATAGACAAAGGCAAGAAGAAGGCAAAAGCGACACAGAAGAAGATGAGGATGATGATTCTGAATCCTCTAGTTTGCCAGAGAAAGTGGATAACGACACGGAAGGTAGGACATTGTGGACTTCACTAGTCTAGTATTAAAAACTCTTATGATGAAATCTCCTGATGATGTGTTTTCTTTTGTAGTTTTGCTTCTTCTGCTTAACTTAATGGATTGTCCTATAATGACCTTTTTTTTTCCTGTTGAATTTATATTATTTTATTGACAGAATTGCATATGTCTATATGTGTAAGCCTAGTTATTTTGCATGTTTTGTTTTGTTTGTGTGATAGTCTGCTCAAAATTTGGTTTTCCTCTTCTAGCATCTGCAAATCTTATGTACTTTATATTCCTAGGAAGTGATGATGAATCTCTGGGTGACAAAACAGAGGATCAAAGTGAAGATGCTGAAACTGAATCTGAGAAAGAGATCTCTGGCTCGGATGAGGAACATGACTCTGGAATTGATGAAGAATCTGCTTCTGAGGCAGCTATTAGTGAGAGGTTTACATCACATATTGTTAGTCTTTTCTTATAGAATTGGTATCTCATATTTTATTTTATCTTTTTTCCAACTGGCCACTGCATTAAGTTTGTCACAAAATTTACGCTTGCATTACACAATTGTCTTTGTGGAGGATATATGGCTTTATTTTGTGTTTCTGAATTAAAATATTATGCGAGATTCACGTCACTTTTTGCCTCATTTATCTGGAAACAGTATAAACTTATTATATTCACGTCATATTTTTCCTTTTGTAGTCCCTTCAATAAACACTTGACGCACAATTTATCAAAAAAGGAGGTTGATGATCTTTCAACAAAGAAGTGGAAATATGAGTGGAAGGTTCCTACTATAGGGATGTCAAATTGCTGGTGGGTTGGCACGGGAGAGTGTTTCTTGAAGGTATAATTACCATAAATTTTTTCCACTACAAAATTTCTGAACATGTGGTAATGTTTTGCAAAAATTTGTGTTCTTCAAGTTGGGCAGTCAGTGATCAACTATATTTGTTGTGTGTCCATTTGATTCCTTCACAAGCTCTTGCATGTCTTTCATATGAACTTCTTAGGCTTTTACAGTTGTTTTCTCTTAGTTTTAATAAAATCACCGTTTCTTGAAATATACACGTGTATTTCGTCCGTTTGCAAGCATGCTTAATACTTCTTTTTACCCCATTTTTTTGTTGTTGATTATATATTTAACTATTTGAGTTACTTCATATTTGTTGTTGTTGTTTTAGGATGTTGATGTCAAAGCAAGTTACGATATGAAGCCTAAACTGTATCAACACTGGTTGGATGTGTACAAGACCTCTAGTGGCAGTGATTTTCATTCTTCTAAAGAGAAATTCTTCTTCACCCTATGTAAGTCAGCCTCATTAGTTCTTTTCCCTACCTACCCTCCCCACCCCTTAATAGGGAGCCTTACTAGTTCTGTAATGCAAAAGTTCATTTTTTAAGTTTTGTGTTGTTGCATTACCTAGTTTTTTCGTTTTCTTTTGTTGTTTCAAATATAAAATATACAATATAAATAATATCAAGTCAAGTGGAAACAGCTTTCTTTCTTTCTCTGTTTTGTTTTGTTTTGTTTTTTGTTTTTTTTTTTGTTTTTTTAGATGAACAGCTTTTTTTTCCTTTATTATTTTGTTGCAAAGGAAAATAGAAACATAGGTCCAACTGCAAACCTTAGTTTCTACAATGAAGCATAGTTGTGAAGATCCACAGGGTTTCAGCTTTCATTTGAAAGGCAGGCTGCATCCAGATATTTACCAGAGAAACGATTTTAAGTTGGGTATTGAATCCCTTTTACCCATCAGTTGAAATATCTTCCTCCTGAGGTGGTTTTTTACTTTGTTGTCTTGCAGTGACTATTTGGAAAATAAATTGAATTTAGTTCTTATGCCTTGCTAAGGATTATAAAACTTGGAATTATGATAACTGTTGGAGTATGTTCTTATGGAAAAAAATTTACATTTATATATTAGAAGACTAGCGGTAAAGTGAAATGAGAGGCTTCTAGTATTTTTGAACTAGTGCTTATTTCAGCTCTGTATGTCACACTAGTGTGCCGTAAGTTTTTGAAAGATCATGTAAGATGATAAGTCTGCAGTAGATTGGAGGCAGCTGGTTTAGTTCTTGTTTTTTGTTTTTTTTGTTTTTTTTTTTGTTTCTTGTTTGTTTGTTTGTTTTGTTTTTTTTTTTTTTGGCATCTCATTGCTTGCTACTGCAACGTCTAATAATCCACGACTTGAAAGGTTGAGTTATTTCTGATAGATAAACAACATTGAGATTATTGCCTTTCTACTTGTTTTCCTTTTCACTTGTTCCTGTGAAAGAAGAAAATTGTAGGACACTGATAAGCAACAGAACAATTTTGTTATTTTTGTCCCTTTTCTTTTTTCCCTAGGCAACAGCCATCGAGATATTTTGCACTGCAACAAGAAACCCTTTTACCTCAGAGGCTTGGAAGAAGACTCAAGTATCAGGGATGCATATATTATGCATTCTGTGAGTGCTTTCCCTTATTCCTTTTTTTTTTTAAAGATGTGTTAGTATGTCTATATACATATATTATATATACACATATGTATGAATAATTTTGATTTCTTTTGTGCAGCTGAATCATGTCTTCAAAACTAGAGATCTTGTGATAAAGAATGACACAAAAGTGGCCAAGCATCAAAAAAATGCTCAGGATGACATGCCTTATGATGATGTTCTCCGTGATCAGGGATTTACTCGTCCTAAGGTATTGTTGATTGCTTACATTTTACACTATTCTCTAGTTTAAGTTTTGCAATTGTGAGCATGATAAAAACTTAGAAAGACTTGAGTGGATGTGAGTGGATGTGTATTATGGTTCTTCATGTTTGCCAGGTTTTGATCATGTTGCCACTTGCAAGCACTGCACTTCGTGTTGTTAAGAGGCTTATACAATTGACCCCTTCAGCTCACAAGGTAATCCGTTTTATTTGAATCATATAGAATGAATCAAATGCTTTGACATGACAAGATACTGATATCATGTGCAGATATTTCCAGCTTCAGCTGAGTTATTGCCACATAATTTTCATATTCTCTGCATTTATGCCTATTGCATCAGAAAAGTTCATTTTAAAGTGATGTTTGCATCAGACTTGCTATAAGCTTATAATTATTAAAATTTTCCTTTAAACCTCACATATTTTAATTTTCCTCAAGGCTCAAGCTTGTCTACGTTTTGAACTTCTGCAACTCTTTCTTCCCCCTTCATAAATTCATTAATATATGTTTCTTTAGCTTTTTTAGGCTGTCTGGTATTTGCCAAGCTTAACAGGAAAAAAAGAAATCAAAATGTAAACTTTAATGCTATTTTTTGTTTTGTCAGGCTAATATAGAGCACCTAGATCGATTTTATAAGGAGTTTGGAACTGAAGGCGTTGAAGACAGTAAGGAAGAAACAGAAGCACCCAGAAGTGCAAAACCTCAAAAATCATCTAAACCTTCTGACTTTCAGTCACTTTTTGGTGGGAATAACAATGATCACTTTGTTGTCGGCATAAAGTTTACTAGGTAAATCTCTTCCGTTGTTATTTTCCACATGCAATTGATGGCTTGTGAAATGTTCAATTGAAACATCTAATGTAGCTTTACCAAGTGCTGTCTTATTATCTACTCAAAGGAAAAGTAGTTACATAGTTTTCAATGTTGGACTTACTTTTCCAGCTGAGAGGCTATATTTTTTATTTTATTTTTTACTAAATTCATTGAATAACCAGTTTGTCCAGCTCAGGGGACTACGAAATTTTAAGGACTCTAGTATTTTACGATTATGCTTGTGTTAATTCATCCATTTTAATGTTTCTCCTACTGTGCTTTGGTTAAGTCATTTAATTTTTTCAGTTTCTCATTCGATTTAGATATCGAGTTTGTCTCTCTTCTCTATCTCTGCATAACTGCGTGTGTGTGAAAATTATGTCAACTATTATTTGCAGTGTGTACTTGAGGAGAATTGTAGAAAGCATAGGTTTCCGAACTTATTTTCAAACGACATTTTGTTTATTTATTTTTCTAGGCGGAGCATAAAGCTGTACAGTGATTTTTATTCCTCGGACATTATAGTTGCTTCTCCTCTCGGTTTAACTACTGTAAGTTACTTTTTCAGTTCGAAGATTCGAACTCTTTGCATGATCTTTTCTCTACATTATTACACTAACCATTAACCAGCTCCAGATTCTATTTGATTACTCATTTTCATGTACTGTGATGAACATGGAACTGATAATGGTCTTTGTTCTTGCAGAAACTTGGGCAGATTGATAGAGACAAGTCAAAGGATGTTGATTATCTTTCGTCTATAGAGGTATTTGTCTAGTCATCCTGATGAATTGAGGGAGTATTCTTTTGCAGCATGCAATTTTATGCTTTTACATTTTCCTTTTAGTTAATGATGGGATATTTGTCTGATATGAGCAGGTTCTAGTTATTGATTATGCAGAGGTGATAGCAATGCAGGTATGCTGTAGGCAGTTAATTAAGTTACTTCGAGCATAAACTAATATGTTGATAGCTTGATATCATTCATTCACATCCCAAAATTTCTTTTATGATAAAAAATTCAGAATTGGTTGCACTTGTCAACCGTTGTCAAGCAGTTGAATCTCATACCGTCAAAGCAGCATGGAACTGATATTATGCGAATAAGACATTGGTATGTTCTTCTAGTTAATCTTTTCTAGGTGATATGAACATTTTCTTTGTCAGTTAATAGTTACGCCTCCCCTTTGGAGTTTCTTTGTTACTGTAGTAAACCCCCTCTCTTTTTGTACACAAAATATAAATCTTATTGACAAAAGAATAATAAGTACAGAGAAAGTAGAGACAAAAGAAGAACAAGAATCCACAAATAGTTTGTAAACAGGTTGATTTCACGTCTTTTTCTTTTCAATTTTTTTTTTTTTCACGGGTAATGGAGCTGAAAGATCAAAGAAAAAAGTAGAAAAAGTTTTTTGATGGAAAACAAATCCACTATAACAGAACAAAAGAATGTAAAAGAACATTAATACATCATGGCTTTTCAACCATGAATGATAAAAGAGGGGAAAAAAAAAGAAGCAAACTCAACTGTGGACGCCCAAAGTGGAACTGAGTTTTAATCCTTTCCATAAAGAAATTATTGATTCTCTCTGGCTCTCCATAGCCAGGGGGCTCGCATGAAATATAAGCGGGCCTCACACATACACGTGGGGCCCACCCCTGTGAGGTGTGAACCCCTGGCTCCTGGGAGCCAAATAGAATTGCCGTAAAGAAATCAGATCCTGTTACTTCTCACTAACCTTACCATTCCTCTCCAACCAAAGGAGTCAGCACACACTTCCACAGTACTGCTGCCATTTTTTTTTCCTTAAACCAAAGGATTCGTTACCAAGCTACATTAGATTTAAAGTACTAGTAATTTAGGCATTTAAAAGGCTTCACATTTGTGTGTTAGTTTACCAATCCATCCCAAAAACTTAAGCTGTTAGGAGGTGGACCAACAATAGTTTAATACTTTAACACTCCCCCTCACGTGTGGGCTGGACAATGGGCAATCGTGTGGGTATTAGAAAGCCCAACACGTGAATATTTAAGCCCGAGATATATTAAAGACCCAACACATGATGACAATTTAAATGAGGATAAAGAGTGCAATTACGGGAGTTTGAACTCAGGACCTCCCGCTCTGATACCATGTTAGTTTACCAATCCATCCCAAAAGCTTAAGTTGTTAGGAAGTGGGCCAACAATAGTTTAATACTTTAACAGTGTGTTCGCTTCTTGGTGCATCCTGTCTTGAGCTTAAGCTAGTCGAGGAGGAACCAATAAAACACCTGCTTCCTTCTCCGATATATGCTGCAAAAATCTAGGCATTAAACATTCTAAGAAATTTGATAGATTGCTTCCTCCGTAGTACCGCCAGGAGGCTAATTTAATTGGGGAGCTCTTTTGCACTGCCACATGAGGCAAAACATGATTTTATTTACTGCATACTCATTTCAAGTAAGTTGCTTATGATTTGTAATTTTTTTTTAAGGGATTTGTTATTTTTTATTTTTAAGGGATTTGTAATTTTTTTATAGGACACTAAAACTTGAAGGAAAAAAAAAAAGAAGTGAAATTATGAATTGTAATATTTTTGCATGTGTAGGAACCTGGATGGATATGCAAGATTTTACAGGCAAACTATATTGTTGTCTTCTTATTTAAACCCAGGTAACCATTTGATTCCATTGATCATTTACCGTCTACTAATTCTATTAATTCCTGTGTTATTCATTGGATTATTTTCATAAATGTCCCCGGAAGTATGTACCCTTATTCAAAGTGCCCTTTGATCAAATGAGAATTAGATATATGGCTGAGATTATTTTGGGTATTTAATATTTTTTTTTAATAGATTTAATTAGGATTTAATGTTATAGTTAACTTTTAATGGTATGCCACTTCAGCAAGCCATTAACATTATACACAGAGTTGGATGGAGGGGGCATCTTGAATTATTTTCTATAGATCGAGGGGTGCAACAAATCATTTTGAAAAATCAAGGGGTATTTTGAATTATGATACATACTTCGGGGGACATTTATGAAAATAATCCTTATTCATTTATTCATCATTACTCTATTACCAGGTCACCACTTTTTAACAGTCCTTCACTACCAATCAATCCACAATTCTTTCCTACCATCCTTTACTTTATTACAATATAAAATGATGATTTAAAATTCTTTCAAAAAAGGATTAAAAGGCGACAAAAGAGTTATCATGTCTGTTAGGTATACATAAAAAATTAGATAGATGTTGTAGCGAAAGAAGCAAGAGATGGTAGGAGGATATAGGAAGAAGATGAAAGAAACATAGAATAACAAGGTTTTCTAAGTCTTTGCCATCATTAATCCCAATATTGAGAATTTAAGCCTATATAAGTGGCATGCAGATAATGTGATAGTTAACCAGAAAGTCATAAGAATGATATTTAATGAAACCCGAAAATCAGATCAATGTAAACTGAAGGAAAAAAATCTTAGTTACATCCAACACTTGATAACTTTAAAATAATAGGGAATTATAAAAAAGAAAAAGAAACTTTTGAAACAAAAGGGACCAATGTGATTGAATTGTACTCAGACAAAGAAAGACAACGGGTGCTAAACCTTTTTCTTCCTTAGAGTTCGTGAAATTCTGATGTATTTTAAACTATACAATAATTTGAAGTATGAATTCCAAAGGTTACTCTTATGAGAGTCCATTTTTTTTTTAATATATATTCAATTGGACTACTTGTTGAACTTTATTTTTGTTGTTGCAGATATGAATGCATTGTTTAATAACCAGTGCGTCAATTACCAAGGAAAGGTATCTGTTCTTTTTACTTTTTACCAAAGAATAGTGTATTGTTCTCCTATTTTCTCTTATATACATATATGATTGCTTTCCTTTGGTTTTTGTTTTGTTTTTGTTTTGTTTTTTTTTCATTTTTTTAACAAAATAACAAGAAAAAGATTATATATGTATATATATATATATTTAAGAAATAGAGTATTTGTCTGTGTTGGGGATAATACCCAAAACACCATCCGTGTTTGTCAAAATACCACTTTCGCCCCTTTTATTTTTGTAAATACCTGAAACATCCCCTGTGTTCATAAAAAAGTCCCAAAATACCCCTTGCAACAACTAAATTTTTTTTGAAAATACCAATATTACCTTTCCCAATCTTTATTAAATACTATTTAAAACATTATTAAACCAAAATGTTAAAATTTAGATAAAATCAATCTTAAAAAATGAAAAACTCTCGAAATAATTGAAGTATTTCTCTAATTGGAATATTTTTTTGAGCATTTTTTTTTATGTTTTATTTAACTTCTTAGTCAAATCATATATAAAATAACATTAAATATAGATTGGGAAGGGTAATCATAGTATTTTCAAAAATTTAAACTTCAGGGGTGTTTTGGGTATGTTTTTACAAACACAGGATGTTTTGAGCATTTGCATATTAAGAGTGGCGAAAGTGGTATTTTGACAAAACACAGGTGTATTTTGGATATTTTCCCTCTGTTATTATGATTTTATTTGGTTTGCAAATTTTGTGACGATCATTATGCTGTATGTACAGGTGAAGTTGGAGTGTGAGTATAAAGGCGTCCTTCCCAAGGTGCTGCTTCAGGTGCAACAGGTAAGCATATCTTACTGTCTTTCTAATACTATGCACACGTCTTCCTTAAAAGAGTTCTCGGCTTAGCAATTTTGAGATGCTAGAGATACAATTCTAACCAGAATCCTGAACCTATACAATTCTAACCAGAATCCTGAACCTATCCCTTCCCTTTTTCCCTTCTTCATTTGAAGTACTAGAACGTTAACAACAAACTTACTAAACTTCAGCTTAGAAGATGAACTGTACAAAGAAAATCCTGAAGTTCTGTGAGGATGTGTAGTTTGTATTAGTCATTTCTTCCGACCTATATAACAGTCATTTTCGTTGTTTATTTCATTTTGCCAATGTAGGGCCTAAAAATAATGGTATTAAATATCAGTTAACCTTTTAGGAAAAAATTACTTGAGCAGAATTTTTGCAGTTTAGAGAGAGTATTTTACATGATACAACAAAAAAGGGTAACCTTCCAGGTGCCTCAGGTGATTTTAGTATAACTTCTCATTTTGTCCCATCAGATTTGTCATCTCTTATGGGGTTAACTTTCTTCATGAGATAATCCATTTTGTTACCTTTTGACCTTACAGATTTACCAGCGATTTGGTGCAGATTCCGTGACAGATATTGATGATGCTCGTCTTGAATATTTTTCAAAGAAGGTTTATTATAGTCTCCTGAAATTAAAATCTAGCTTGCATTATTATTCAATAGTCGAAGTCCGGTTGCTAGATGTCCCCTCCCTTTTTTTCTTTATTTCTTCGTGCATTACTAGAATCCTGCTTGTGCTATTATCTTGTTAGCATTTTAGGATGGAGTTGAGTGCTAGTAGGCGTTAAAAGGGTTCTTTCATTTGTATCATCAGATAATGAAATTCCAAATGGTTAACGGTGTTTTTCTTTATGCAGGTTTTCCCAAAAATTAAAGATTCCATTCAGGTAAGCAATGGGGTGATGTCTAAGCTTTATTCAAATTCCGATGTTTTGTGGTTTTGTTTATACGCTGATTTATTTCATATCTTGTGGACATTTTTGTAGGGGGGTACAATGATATTCATTAGTTCGTACTTTGAGTTTGTTCGAATTCGGAACTTCATCAAGTCAGAGGATGCATCCTTTTGTATACTTTCAGAGTAAGACGCTGATCTATTCTCCCTACTAGCCTGTGCAATATCAGTCTCTTGTTCGTTTGCAAATGTTTTAATGCGCACATATTGGCCTTGCTTTTCAGGTATACAAAACCGAGTGATATTTCTCGTGCACGGGTTTGGTTCTTTGAAGGGAAAAGGAAGATCTTGCTGTATACTGAGAGAATGCATTTTTACCACAGATACAAGGTACTTTGACTATATGCTTGTATCAACATGTGTGTGAGTGTGAACAAGTGCAAAGCCTATGTTTTTTTATGCTTCCATTTGCATGGTCTTTTTTCTCTTTTTCCATGAGATCGATCAATTTTAAGATTTTATGAAAAGGTGCATTCAGTTTTATCAACGCTCCTAATGCTCTAACACATCCTTTTATTTTTCCTGTTGAGTAGATTCGCGGTATAAAAAATTTGTTATTCTATTCACTCCCGGAGAGAAAGGAGTTTTACCCTGAGGTAATTATGAACTCAAAAAATTATTTCTGATTAATGTCAAAATTTATTATTTTTATACGGGTTTAGATATAGTTTTTCTATCTCCAATTTTAGTCAGAGTAAATCCATTGTTATACTCTTCAACCAATGTTGACTATCATAAACCCTTTTCACCAATAATCTTCTTTTCTTTTCTTTCTTTCTTTTGCAGATAGTTAATATGCTTGAGGGATCTGATAATGTTACAACCACCACCCTCTTTTCTCGTTTTGATCAGCTCCGGGTATTATTTAGCTTCTTTGCTTGTCATGCGTATATTTCTTGGTTCACTTAATTGCGTCATATTTTCTTGTCGAGTTGTTTAGATCCTTTGATACTGCTTATCATTACAAAAAAAACCTTGTTTTCAACCCAAATTACTCAGTGTTTTCCTCCCACTAATGTTGTTCTGGTTTTGTTAGTCACTCATTTTTCTTTTTCCTGTTTTCTTTTGATGCTGTTTATATAGCTGGAGAGAATCGTTGGAACAGCAAACGCAAAGAGAATGGCGAAATCAGAGAAGGATGTGTTTGTTTTCTGTTAGACATTTTTGCGGTCTTAAGAATTATTGAAACGGAGAAAACTCCAAAAGAAATTGCCAGGAAAAAGAATTTGACAAAAAAGTCACCGGGAAAAGAACTTTGGTGGCCAGTGATGAGTGAAAAATTTTTGAGCCGCCGATGGATGCCCTTATTTTATTTTATTTTATTTACCTTTATATGATCCTTTTGAGCGGTAGACATCCACAAGTCCAACAATTGGTTAAAACCTCCCTCAACCCGACATCCCCCAACTTGAACTGAACCCTCCCTCTACTGGTCAACCGCCCTGCTTGTGTTAATCCTTAAGCCGCCGATGGATGCCCTTACCTTACGTTCACTAGATTTTTGAAACTCATGAAAATCCTTTCATAACTGGTCAGAAAATTTTGCTCACGTTCCTCTAGTCCCCCCAAGTGTACATATATGTACGGCTATACATATTATTTTGTTATCTAGACACAAATAATGCAGAAAAAGAAAAGAAAAAATAATACACATATGTACGACTCTACATATTAGTATCTTATCTATACACAAATACATACTAATATACATTAAAATTATATTATGAGAATTACTGAATCTACCTTTAAAAGTGTATGAATCTTGATTTTTACTCTTTATTTTTTTAATTAAAAGTAAAAGATAAAAATTTAAACAGGTGCATTAGTTTGTCTCCTTTTCCCTAATTATACCTTTACACGTCAGTTTTATACACTGAAAAAAAAAAAAAAGAAGTTGGCTACTTCTCTCTAATTAGTTCCTTTATTATAGCTTCTCATATCCCCTTGTTACGCGTGCAACAAGGTGTCCCTCACCGAATCCATGGAAGTTCACTGGCAATATGGCGTTGCAGTCACCGGTACGAGCCTATCGTCATCACCCTGCCATAAATGGACAGAGCCTTCATTGTTAGGGAAAGGGTTCTTCAGATCCACTTGATCAAATTCCCATTTTCCAAATCCTATCTTCATTGCTCTATGTTGGAACTCAGACACTGCTTGTTGTGTAGCATATTGCTGCATAGAGAAAAAAAAATGGAATAAGCCTATCCAGATTCTAGCAGGAGTAATGGATTTTCTCACCGTTGCTTTCTAATATCAATAAATATGCTGGAAATTTCAAGCAAAAAATAAAAAATTTAATATGTTGGTAACAAAATATCACTGTTAATCGACAAGCATTACTAAATGACAATTGTAGTTCATCAATTGAACAAATTGTTGGAATATTTTTGTGTAAACTAGCATAATCAATGAGAATGAACTATACTATTATGAACTAAATTGTTGCATAAAATTCCATCACAGATCAATGGTCACATCAATATAGCATTAAAAATTTGGGATAAAAATAAGTACTAGCTAATACATGGAGTGGTTCACATGGTGGACCACAAACGAGCGTTAGCAATGGGAGGGAGGGAACGCACTCTCATGAGAGCTCTCTCGTCGTCCAGAAGCACAGAGAGAGCTCTCCCGAGAGGGAGTGATCGATTGACCAAATCAATCAATCTCTAGACGGAATGAGAGGGGGCTCGAGAGAGGGGAAATTCCTCTCCCTTACCCTCCCATTCACACTTTTTTTATTCCCATTACCTCTGGAAGCCGTCCTGCCATTCCTGTGAAAGGAATGGAGTAAAGGGACGACCTTCCTCTTATCCTACTACTTGCCCTTTCCTAAAAGAATGGATAAGGGCCAACCTTATGACAATTTAAAGAGCTCATATCTAGAGTTTTCCTGGTTGAAAACTTACCGGATTATCAAAAAAAAAAAAAAAGTGACTTTTTTTGGAAATAGACTTGAAACTATAATTAAGTACCTTGATTTTTTTTTCCCTGTCTGGATCAACTGAAAGCTTGTTCATGAAAATTTCAAGATCAGGAGCCGAGTAGATAACTGGATTACGAGCTATAACACTCGATGAAGGAAAGAGTTTCTAAGTGTTCCACCAATAGGTCAACCATGGCATATAGTGAGCAACTCGGAGTGACCATTGATCCCCTAGCGGTTGTTTGTTATAAGCTTCTTTGCACAACTTGGCAGGCAAAGATGGCCACCAGTAGTTTACTACAGGAGCAATTAGTGCTGCTCCCGCAAACCTCTCAACATACCAAACATTATGAAATTTCAGAACTTGACAGCATAGAAGAAACAATCTACCTATTGCCCAAGTTTTTCTATCAGAAACAATACTCAAGATTTTAGATATTGTTGCGTATATATCAAAAGTTATTTACCAAATATTTGTTCGTTTTAGGTCATGTGACAAATGAGTTGTTAATTTTCAACTGATAAATTTTAATTTGATCCATAAATGAATTCACCAGTTGAAAGAATAAATAACTTATCTATATGAATTAGGCACCTACTATAACATACACTAAACTTTGTATAAAAAAAAAAGATACTGCATTGAAGAGTATTTTTTTTCTACGGAGTGCCAAAGTATATCAGCATATTAATTTGACATTGCATTGAAGATGCTCTTACCGATGTGGGATATACTCGAGACAACCCCAGACGGCCTGGCCGCCCATGGAATTTCCAATTGTATAGAATTTGGATCCGAGTTCCAACTGATCACCAAGCTCTTCTATATCCAAAGCCAAACTCTTAACTGTCCTATTAGGATCTGGGTCACTTTCTCCATAGCCTGGTTTGTCAAATCCCACGATGTAAAGCCCTAGTTCTTGAACAAATTCCTGACAAGATCATGTGCAAAATGAAGAAGCCTTCAAAACAATATTCATACATCATAAATACGTGTGTGTACGTACACATACAAGTATATATATTATATATGTGAGTGTGAAAATGGAAATCAAGCTCAAAGCTTTAGTCTTGCCGTTTTTTGGACCTACTTTCAAATACATCTTGTACTCACTCATTAAGTACTTGTGTCTGTGAACAAACAAACTAGCTTGTTTCTATTTTTTCTTTTTTTTTTTGGCTGAAAAACCAAACAAATTAACTGTCTTGCTACTAAAAAAAAAAAAAAAAAGATTACTCCAAAAAGAATACATTTTGTCAGATGCAACCTGAAAATTCCCATCAAAAGAGACGTTTGTTATAGTGAGTTGAATAGGCAATATCTTTGTACCAAATTACTAGCATTAATAAATTAGAATCGTGGTTGCAGACTAAACCTAATGGTAAATTCAAAAAAAAAAAAAAACATTGCATTACAATCTATAAATACATGTTTTTGTGTGTAATCATAATAATATTGTGATTTCAGTACCGGAGAGAGGGTTGATGACACCACAACTTCAAGTCTACAGGAAGAAAAGCCATGAACATAGACAATCTTATATTTTGCCTCTTCTCTTGGAACACCATATTCTTTGTAGGCCAAATGCCTTCCATCCCTTAGCTTTATTCTGGGACCTGTGATGGGCGGTCCGGCCGGTGAACCGCAGATTCTCGGAGGAGGTGGCCGTAGTATGGCCTTGTATCCCCATGACAGTAACCCAATTAACAAAGCTGGGGCAATTTTCATTAACATTGTTAGTACCTCAAATAATTCCTGAAAACAAAACTAAAATTGAACCTTAGTGATACATGATAAAAACAATAATAAATTGAGTTAAAAGACACACATAGTTTTGGCACCTACTAGATGTTGTAAAGTTGGGATATTATGTGCTTGTTTGTTGCTCTCCTTTTTCTGGTTATTATCGACTATGATCGTCCTGTAGCTATTTTCTTCATCTCTCTACAGCAAAACTGCAAGAGGGTATGCCTAGGGCTGTTCATGAGTTAGGTTGGTGCGGGATATGACTTTTTATTCTCCCACCTTAAAAGGTGCGGGTTGCACATATTTAACCCCAACGATGTTAGAAAAATTTCACAACCTAATGATGTTTGGGTTGAGTTGGTGTGAGGTGGGTTGGATGGTCGGTTTCAACATTCAAAGACTCAAAGTTCAATTCAACATTCAAAGTTCATCATCAAATAAAAATAATAACTCCAATATTTTAACAGGTAGAAATTCAAAGTTCAATCCAACATCAAACATAAAACAAAGTAGTCCATCCGACATAAAACAAACATAAATTAGTCTACACTAATAAATTAGTCTTAACATAAAGCAAACATAAAGACTTAATTCAAACATGAAGAAACTAGAGAGTAGAAATAAGTTGCCTGTCAAGGGTTAGAAATTAGAAGAGACAAGTTAGAGTGCAGGTTAGGTTGGGGTGTGCGGGCTATTATGGGTCCAACCTACACCCCGTCTTAAAACTTCGGGCCAGACATTGAATGAGTCGAAAAAAAAAATTTAATACTAAAAATTGTATTTTTCGAATTAGGTTGGAGTGGGATAGATTGAACATGCGGATTTTACGGGTTTATGAACAGCCCTAAGTATGCCGTCAAATCCTCAACTACAATGGACTAGAAGGCATATCTTAAGGATATCTTTTTCTTTTTTTAATGATATCTTCAAATGAGACTTCTTTGTGAAGGAATATGATATTGGGGTCAATTTGAATGAGGACGTTTGATGCCATATCCCAAGTATATTTTTATTATTATTTCTTTGCAATTATTTTGCTTATATGGGTCCGTTTAATTCACTAATTTGAGTTTTTAATTTGAGTTAAGATGTGACTTTATGTGAAAGCTTTTTACTGTAGCCAAAAAGTTAGATGTGACTATTTCTGAGAGCTTTTTACTGTAGCGAAACTCGAATCGGGTGATCGGGACCATAATATTTCTCGTTGGTTTTTATTATTTTATTTTATTTTCTTTGATTTACATTACTTTTAAGTAGTATAAAGCTATAGTACCCTTCATTTATATCTAAATTCCCAACCTTTCAGTTAATCTGATTAATTTCAGTTAATCCATATAAATAGTAGAATTGAATGACACTACCTCAGAAGTGGTATTTTCCTTATTGGCCCTATTTTTTTGTTTGCTACATGCAAGTAGTTTGGTTTATTTATTTATTTCTCATTATTATTATTATTTGATGACCAAAGAAACGTGCACGTGGAATGTTCCATTCTAAAGAAATTAGGTAAAGCTAAAGTCTGGCCTGAATATTTATGTTTCATTGATTTTAATTGATTTTCTTTCCTTTAACACTCAAGTGCCCGGCAAATGCCGTGCTTAGGCCTCAAGCATTTTTCTTGATGATCCCTGTATATCAAAAGGAGGAAAAAGTAACTCGCAATCCTTTATCACCGCTTCAACACCATAGTAATGTTGAAATCTGTTTTCACCCGTTTTATTCAATAAATTTTATAAAAAGAAGAACGCAAAAGGTATGCACACGCATGCTTACAGCTTATCTCATAAAAAGAAGTCTTGATGTTGAAAGGTTTATATATGATACAATAAATTGAGATGACTTATTTTTCAATAGTAGAAATACAAGATTTGCAAACGACATTGTTACTTATGGGCCATGCCACGATCTGCTAGTCAACTAACAATTATTTTCTTCTTCCATTTTTTTTTCCATGGAAAAATCCAAACACCAAAAAAAGCTGAAGGAGAAAGAAAAAGGGATCAAACAAGAATGTCATTCCGCAGCAGAAGTTGATTTAGTCTCCCCTGTTAGAAACTCCTTCATGATAACTTCACCCATTCCCTCGGCATGCGGAAAAAGGTGTCCTGCACCGGGTAACTCATGGTAATTAATCCATGGAAGTTTACCAGCGATATAGCGTTGCAGAGTAACTGGGACAAGCCTGTCATCATCACCCTGCCATAAATGGACGGCGCCTTCGTTGTTAGGAAAAGGGTTCTTGAGATCCATTGGATCAAACTCCCATTTCCCAAATCCTATATTCAAAGATCGATGAAGCGACTCGAATACTCCTTGTTGTGTGGCATATTGCTGCACGGCATCTCATCAAATATTCTCATTCTAAATTATTTAAGAGAGAGATTCTTGTTGTTTGTAAATTGTAAAGTTGGATACTAATAGGTGAGAACAATAAATAGAACATATCTCGCACGGTGCATTTCACCAACTGAAAAATGTAAACTAACTAGTCACATCTATTAGTATAAAAGAGCCACGATGTGCAGTTTTGAATTAAGTACCTGTTGTTTTTCTCTCTCTGGATCAAGTGAAAATTTATTCTTGACAATTTCCAGATCTTGAGCAGAGAAAACGTCAGGATTGCGAGCTATAACACTTGATGCAGGACATAATTTCTGAGTGTTCCACCAGTAGGTTAGCCACGGCAGGTAGTGAGCAACAAGAAGAGTCCATTGATCCCTTAGCGCTTGTTGGTTATAAGCATCTCTGCACAGGTCGGCAGGAAAAGATGGCCACCAATAGTTGACTACAGGAGCGAGTAATCCTGCTCCTGCAAGCCTGTTAGCATCCCACACATCCAATTTGAAACAAATTTCAAAAGTACTTAGAGAATTATGAGACAGCATAGAAAATGAAATCATATTTAGGAAAAAATTCGATGCCTGAGTTTTCATATTAGACAATACTCAATGGTTTATTTAGAAAACAGTAACTCGAACAAGATGACGTAACTGACCCAACCCAAGCTGAGTAGGGTATTGAAGTTTTATCCAGTTCAGCCCAAGAACAGTTGATCCAAGCTTTATGGGTCTATCTTATTTTAGAACTGGTTCACAGGTAGCATTAAGTTATCTGCAAAAACCCATTTCTAGGACATAATGCCTTGTTTTCCTTCTAAATCAGTTGTCACATGCCAAACTCAATCTTTTTTTTTTTTTTTGGGATAAAGCATGAAGAAACTTCATTGATTCGAAATAAGTGCACGAAGTTTAAAGATGGATGAGAGGTCCATCACAGCAAAAACAACAAAAAACAACAAAGAAAAGAAAAAGAAAAAGGAAAAAGAGCAAAAGACTAACAGCAACCTGAAATCCTACTGGTGTATTGACTCTTAGAAACATTAGTATATCACAAACACTACGTCATGCTTATGATCCTAAATTCCCAACATATCAATATGGAAAGACCCCACAATTTATAATTTTTCAAAATGAGCAGCTACAGAGCATAATTTACCTGTTGGGGATATACTTGAGACAGCCCCAGACCGCCTGGCCGCCCATGGAGTTTCCAACTATATAGAATCTGGATCCAAGTCCCAGCTGATCACCCAATTCCTCTATGTCCAAAGCCAAACTCTTCACTGTTCGCTTGGGGTCTGGATCACTTTCTCCATAACCTGGTTTGTCAAATCCCACGACATGAATCCCCAGTTCTTCAATAAAGTCCTGAGAAGATCATGCCCACCTTGAAATGCAACCCTTACAACATACGACAAAAATGCATGCATGCATTTATGCACATACATACAGTCATTTACATATGCAGGTAATTTACATTTTACATAATCTAAAATTTAGCAAGCCTGATCATATGCGCTTTTGGTATTTAGTGGAGGGAACTTCATATCTTAGATTACTAACTTATTTTTCTTTTCTGACGCAAGTAGAAGGGAGTGGAGTTCCCCTATATGTAAGCATGCTGATATAAAATGACTATTGTATTGGAATGAATTCAACGTGATAATTCTTGGATGAAAGACCATGCGCCTTCCCAATCCACTTGGATTAGTTTGTAATGATAATAAACCAAAATATGGTCAAAAGATGGGAAAGAAAGAGCATAAAAAAGATGGGAAAGAATCTTGGAGATATTAGCATAATACATTTTTTTGCTCACTCATGCTAACTTTACATGCAAGTTTGCAACCGAATAAAGAACTTAAAAAAGAGTCTAAAATAAAAACAATAAACATTATATATAACCCATTACACAAAAAGAATTTTAAACCAGATGAATTCAACTAAATACCAGAAAGTTCAATAAGCAAATCTGAGCGAAGTTAATCAGTTCCTGTAATTATTTTTCCAAAAAAAAAAGTAGCAAAAAGTAGAAATTAACAAAAACTTAAAGGCCGGCCATTGTGGTATCGATTAGCGAATATGCATTGAAAGAAAATGTCCTAAACATTAATCACGTCAAGATCTAACATATTAAAAAAGCTCTGAATATCCAGATAGTTCAAAATGAATCTGAATTGTGTATTCTATTTCTATGCATAACAACAATCAATTCTATGTACCGCGGAGAGGGTTGTTGCAATCACAGCATCATGTCTGCAGGAAGAAAAGCCATGAACAAAGATAATCTTATTTTTGGCCTTTTCTCTAGGCATCCCATATTCTTTGTAGGCCAAATGCCTTCCATCCCTTAACTTTATTCTCGGTGCAGTAATGGGTGGCCCACCAGGAGAGCCACAGATTTTAGGAGGTGGAGGCTGTATGGCCTGGTACGCCCTTGATAGTGACCCAACGGACACAACTGGAGCAATTCCCTTCAGCATTTTTAATTCCTGAAAAAAATAAATAAATAAAAAACTCCAGCTGAAAAAGAAAATCACACATGGTTTGATATTAGATTGAACAATTAAAGGTGTTAATTTTTAGGAGGTTTTTCTTGAAGAAAATAGTAAGAAAAGAGGAACACACGCAAGTTAAAACAGAGCGAGACACTGCTTGAAAAACAAGAACCCCCAAAGATTACAATAAACATTCAGAATTCCAAGATCATATCTTCTATTCTATGAGCTTTTTAGAGATAAAAAATATACAATAAAATAACATCTTCGCCCTTAGGCTTGACATAGATGATAATCTTTCACCCTTAAATATGGTTGCTCATGTTTTTGTCATGAGAGTATGCACACTATGCAAACAAATTTTGTTACTTTTTAAGGGTTATTTAGGTTTAACAATCTTACAACATGTGTACATTTTCCTGTTTTCCAGCACGGATATTTCAACCAGAGTATAAAACAGTTTTCAGTGTAAAAAATTATGAAGTAACCATATTAGAGTCTTAAAAGAGATAAAAGTAAGGTTATGTGCAAAATAAATAAATAAATAATAACTCTAATGCCAAGATAGAAAAATGCTATGCATTTGGATGGCCTTCTGGAAGCCTAGAGGCTTGAGATAAAGAGAACCAAAGAAAGATTAAAAGGCATAGGTTCACATGCTTTTATAAAATTGAGAGAGAATTACAGAAATTTTTTAGGTGCTCCCTTTTCTGCTAGCTTCAAAGTATTCGGTTTGCTGAAGTAGTAGCTGTTATCTTCTTGCTGCTACCACCACATTATTACTGCACGGTCACTTATAGCAAGCACTAATCGGTTGCGGCACGTGCAATGCACATGCCATGCAGGCAGCCTAGATTTCATACAACATTCATATCATTTCAGTACAGATAAATCACTTGTTTCAATACACAACAGATTTAATCATGGCATCATCAAATAAATGCGACAAAGGAGTTTTCAAAAAGAGTTTTAAAAAAAAAAAAAAAAAAAAAAAAAAAAAAAAAAAAGGAGCACAAATTAAGGGCTCGTTTGATATATGGGTTCAAACCAGTGATTTTGATTATGACTTTTGAAATTTAAATTTTTTTGTGAGTAAAAAACACTGTAGCAGAATCAAAATAATGGGTTTGCACTGTAGCATAACCCATATACCAAACATGCACTAAGAAAATTCTACTAAACTAGCAACATGAAAAATTGAACCACATAATCTTGATGAGACACTAGAAGACAAGTGCATCTATATCAGGCTTTACACAACAACAAAATGAGCTTCCTTGACATACAAACAAACACTGCCCCTTTTTCCGCTCACTTTCTAAAAGAGGAACAAAACAAGAACTTTTTTTTATGCTAATCTCATCTGAACGATGTACATGTAGTACGTTTCTTACCAAATTCTACATATGTATAACAAAGAATTCATCCATTCTGTTTGTTTCTTGCGTAGTAAATTTTCAAGGAAAGGAAAAGAACATTTTGGGTCAAATTTCATTGCCTTGCATCATCCAAAAAATAAAATAAAATAAAATAACCAGAGGAAGAGAAGACCCAAAACCGCAGGCGATCATGTAGTCTTCTGCTAAAAACACAAATGTAATTTTAATCAACAGGACCTAGAAAATGAAAAAAATTAATAAACACACAACAAAAGTCCAACTTTCAATCCCAAAAGAAACATAGAAAATCAAACAATGACACCAAAAATTAAAATAATAATAGTAATTACAAAAAAGAATAGCAAAACATCGACACGCAAATGAAGCATTGTTAGATTCGGCATTGTCCGAAACTATTTGGTTCCGTTTTTTCTTTGTGAGATTCCTAATTCCTCTTTCTTTTTCCATAGTTGGGGAAATTCTGGCATGAATATTCAAATTCGACCGAGAGGGAATTTTATGAAATTGGAAGCATACCTGAGTAATTTGCCACAGATTCGAAGAGGAGAGAGAAAGCCGAACTCTAGGGTTTAACCGCAGAGAAAACTAGAGTTGAGAACTGAGAAGCTATCATTAGCTCGAAGACGACATTGTTGAATGTTAAGGTTAGACTTAAAAGTACTTTTTTTTTTTTTTTTTTGCTGAATAAAAGGTCAGCAAGGACTAAAAGCGAAAAGGAGAAGTTGGGAAGCTCGTGATGTCAGAGTTCAAAGTAGTTAGAAACTTTGAAGCATCATTATATTATATTATAATAATCACGTGCTTCTAAATCCACGTCCCGTCGGACACTTATGGTGCGACAGTCTTTATTGTGCGACCGTCTTTTTGGCTCCGCTAGGGAAATAAGGACTCGTTTAATTTATACAATTTTAAATTTTAAATTTTTTATTAAAAAAATATTATAATAAAATTAAAATTATGAATTTAAATACATAAAAAATAAACGAATTTTAAAATATATATTGACTGTGAAATGAGGCTACATTGGTTGAATCACGAGCCTTACCAACAGACGGTAATATCCTTTGAAGTTCTCGTAACAAATTCAGGACACGTTTAGTTCATAGATTAAAATTATGAGATTAAAATTATTTTTAATTTATATATATTTTTTATGAGAAAAAATACTATAACGAATCATGAATCATGATTCAAATCAGAGTATGAATCCCCTAACCAAACAACTCCTTAGTTCCTATTTGTTTTATTAATTTAGTTTAGTTTAATTCAATTTGAATAATAAGTACAGTTTAAATTGACGTTTGATAAATATGTAATTTAAATTATATTCTCAGTTTAAATTGAGTTAAATGGCTTAACTTAGAGTTTAGCTCTCCCGTTAAATTCAAACGTTCAAATCATTTTTTAACAGTAAAAAGTGCCAACTCTCTCTGCTTTTCACACATACCAAACACAAATTCAAATTTTATTCTCTGTTCAAATTAAAACTTTAACTACATATCCAAACGTCAATTCAAACTACAAATTAAATCACACAGTTTAAAAGGGGCAAAATAATATAAATTTTGTATGAAACTCAAGGATATAAATACAAACTTTTAAAAATTTCAGTATAAAACATCGAAATGGAAAATTTTAAGGGGCTAAACAAGAAGAAATAGGGCAAAATAATAAATTTTAGAAGAACACTAAAGCAGCTAACCCCCTCTAGGTCTTAGCTAGTTTCGTCACTGCTTACACATCTAAGAAGCGTTAATATCCCCAATACAATTGGAAGAGCAATACTGAGCCCGTTTGGTTCATGAATTAGAACCATAAGATTAGAATAATTTTTTATTTACGTGTGTTTTTTGTGAGAGAAAATACTGTAACGAACCATTAATCATGATTCGAATCAGAGAACGAATCCTCCAACCAAACGGGCTCTAAAGGTCTTCTTAACCGCTTGATCTCAATCCACCGCCTTTTAAAAACTTGCTTTACCGGTGGGACCAAATAGATTGTTGCACCATAACGATTCCCTAATAATAAACAATGAAAAATGCTAGGGAGTAGAGTGAGCACCATAACTTAAAATGTTATTCATGGGCACATAACCTGGCACTCACAAAAAATGAGCCCCCAATTAATGGGACCCACCAAAATACCTACCATGTGAGTAATGGGACGTATCACTTAAGGGATGAATAGGGATGCTCAATGAAAAATGGTTATATATGTGAGTTATATACGTGGATTTTATATTATGGGTCTTACTTTATATTAGCAAGTGATGTTGAGTACTGATAGAGCCAAAACCTAATGTTGCTTGTATGGTCTAGCTTCAAACCAGCCAAATTCTTGAATGGAAACTCCTTTCTCATTATCAATGGGTCGGTGCTCCAATATGGAAGGTCTTGTCGGCTAATTAGGGGTTATTTTTTTAATGAAACTCGGAAAAAATTTAAACTCAAGTTATAATTTTATTTAAATTCATGTTCTTTTATAAATTGAGTTTGAACTCAAATTTATGGTTAAACTCGAGTTCAAGTTTCTCCTTAAACTCGAGTTCATAAACTCGAACTCAAGTTAATAAATAATATTTTTTTTATTCTTAAAAATGTCATAATTTTTTCGTTTTAATTCTGATTGAGATGATATTTTTTCTATGCATTCACAACGAAAAGACGAATAAAACCTCACCCATATACTTATTAAAAAAATTTATCACCATTGAGTTTTTATTAAAATACTATATAAATATAAATTTAAGTTTTGACTCACCCAAATACAAACTCAAATAGATTCTCAATTCAAATCATAACTCAAATGTGCATATCTAAACACAAACTCAAGCTACAACTTTAACTCCAGTTATAACTCAAACTCAACTTAAAATTATTACTCAAGTCATTCTAATTAAAAAATGTAAAAGATCAACCCTTTAGTCATGTGTTGAATCTATAGTAGTTGTCGGAGGTTGTTTGGTTGGGAAATTCGTACCCCGATTCAAATCATGGTTCATGGTTCGCTATAGTATTTTTTCTCATAAAAAATACACGTAAATCAAAAATAATTTTAATATTATAATTCTAATTCATGAACTAAACGTCTCCTAAAACTAGATTCATCTTCGAATAAAATTGAGTTATGCTTTTTTTTGTTCTATTAGTGAACCGTGAATTCTACTATTCACGTTGGAATTGGAGACGGAGTAGTACTAATGATTCACTTTTATTATTAAAAAAATTGAGTTTAATGGCTTTTGTTTATCACTTATTAACCTTAGTATATCCCTTATTAATTTTAATTTATTACTAATTAATTATAATTTATTATTGATAAACTATAATTTATTACTTATTAATATAGTTTTTCATTGTAGTGAAATGATCATTTTCTTAAAAAAAAAAAAAAAAAAAAAAAGAAGTTCGGCTATTTGTTTAAGATTAAAAATTTCCGTCTTTTATTAAAAAAGATGGTGGAATATATATTTGTCTAATTTCCCCAAAAAAAAAAAAAAAAAAACCTCGTTTCTCACATTATTTTTGTCGGTACTCATGACACGCTGGAAAAATCTTCAAGTTTTTGTAGGTTTTTTTCTTTTTTTTCTATATTATGCTAGTTTTTGTAGTTATGATTTTTTTCCCCCGAGTTTTTGTAGTTATGATTAGCTTTATGATATTGAGGAGATCGAATAGTTGTCCATCGCCAATGAAGGTACTGGTTTTTGGAATCGGTAATTAACGATTAGCTTTTTTTTCCAGATTTTCACAAATAACCCTCAGCGTCTTTAATTTTGCCCGTTCGTTGATTTGAATTTTTAATTCAAATTGAGATGTGATTTTATGTGAGAATTTTTTACTGTAATAAAAAAATTAGATGTGATTATTTTTTAGAACTTTTTACTGTAACAAAACTCAAATTTTAAATTCGAATCGGTGAAATGAACGGAAACTCTTCGTACTACTCTAATATTTGCAAAAATACATATCAAACGGATTTTCAATTAGGTGATTACAAGAGTGGTCTCACATATTGAATTTCAACGTTGAGTTGTAATTGTTAATTGATCGTTTATTTGGTGTAGTATAAAATAGAATAAAACCGATCAGATTAAGGATATGTTTAGTTGTAATGAACGCATATCTACTTGTAATGAACGGAGAAAGGGATCAACTATTCGTGTATTTACTTTTCTTTTTTAGTACTAGTTTTTTGGTTTTTTTTTTTTTTTTTTTTTTTTACGGTGAGATCTTTTAAAAAAATTCACTATCGAAATATTTTTAAATAACCGTTAGATTACTTTTTTAATAGTCAAATTTACAGAGTGAGCAATTTTATACGGCGCGCTATAAATTTTTAATATGAATTTGAACAGATTTAACTGTTGAAGACTTAATCTAACGATTAAAATACGGTGTTCTGTCTGAGAGTTTTTTAAGGAGTCTAACTGTAACCGTACATACTTTTTTTCTCTTTCTTTATGTTTAAGGGAATGTTTAGGGTAATATATATAAAATGCGGATAACTTTCTCAAGGTGGCTCAAGAGGGCAAATGGATCCATACATATAGACGAAAGCTTTACAACCCGATCACTACTTCTAGCTATTGACGGAAGGTGACAGAATTTCAAACTAGTACACTTTATTGAATTCTCAAATTCCTCTCGATGAAGTGACTCAAATACTCCTTGTTGTGTCACATATTTCTACGTACAAGAAAGAAAAAAAAATTAAATATATAGACGAGTTTTTAATGATTACATTTTTATCGGTAGTTACCATAAATATAGAAATTTAATGACGTATCGTGATAAAAATTTAATTTAATAATTGTCATAAATCTTTTCTTAATTATATAATTTATTATAACTATCGGATCAATATATAACGGCTAAAACAACTATACCCATTAATAAGTAAATATTAGAGTAATCATTAAAATCACACATATATATATATATATATATATATATATCATTCCAAGTAAATAGAAAACTTTTGAATCCTTTCTTGGTTGACCCCTTTTTATTGGTCAATATGAGGGGTTTTTTTCTCTTTTCTTGAGAAAATCGGTTAATATGAATAATGAATAAGCACTTAAAAATTACAAAAATCTAATCATATGATCAATTACGTTCTCTTAAAAATTCAGAACGTAAGTTGAAGTTTTAATATCGATTGATGTGAAAAATTAGTTTTCCACCATTTTCATAATTGGATATGATATTAATTTCAGTAATTGCAGTAAATAACATGTTTTTGAAATATTTTTTTTTTCAATTAAGTAGTATATTTTAAAACAATAAAGTAAATAGCACATCTACTAATAAATAATATTTTACTAGACATAAAATAATTTATTTACTAATAAACACTTGGCATAAATAATCAGCACAGATAAATTATCTATCAGTAAATATGTCATTTACATCAATCGTTCTAAAAGTATGTTATTTAGTTCAAAAACGTGTTAAACATATGCTATTTGTCGCTTTATCCCTATTAATATATGGAAGATCTGTACTGCCAATTAAAAAATGCAGTTACTAATCACATTGGGATAATATTTGAATGGCATACTTAAGGTCAATATGCTAAAATGACTATCCAACAAAGTGAAATTAGCAAAATGACCTTCTTCATTTTTTATGAAGAACGACCACCTAATCATTCTTTGTAAAAAGTTGTCGTTTTGTAGTCATTTTACAAATAAAAATTTTTAAAAAGTTCTTTTACTAATAAAACTTT